CGCGAAGGGGCGGGGATGGCAAGCCGTGGGAGCGAAGAAGGAAGGAGGGAGAAGTGAGAATGGAGGGAAGGGGCGACGACACACCGCGGACGGGGATGGGGGAGGTGCATATATGAAAAGCGAGAGCAACAGACAGGGGGCGCATCACGCATGAGCGAAGTGAAGCAAGATAAGGATGTATTGGGTAACCGAAGAGCATAAACAGATAATACATATATATATATATATATATATATGCAAGAGAAAGAAAGAAAAACGGGGGGAAAAAAGGGGGGCAGCATCGGCAGCCACCAACGGGAAAGGGCAGGTGTCTCTCTACACGGGCGAGACCCACACGCCGACACATGCTTGCTTTGGTAAAAGAAGAAACAAAAAAAAACAAGGGCTGGGGAACAATCAAAGCCAAGGAGGAAGGAATGAGAAGACAATAATATGTGTATAATGGGTCCATGGGTCTGCGTTCGCCTGTATGTTTGTGCGCAGGTGTATTTCCGTACGTGTGCGTCTGGGGGCTGCGGGACCCACCGCGTGCCTGCAGCACGGTGCGCCTGCCCATGCATACGCGCACATGCGTCGGTGTCACCTACAATGAGCCGGCATACACGCACGCAGACGTACCGCATGCGTGGTCCCAACAGCGAGGGCCGCAGCGCATACCCGCACTGAAAGAGAAAATGAAGAAGAAGAATAGACAACAAATAAAGAACACAAAAGACGAGGAGGGAAGGATTTTGCTTTGTTAAAGCGCAGCAAATATAAGCCATCTGAGCGCCAAACACGTAGGGAGGAAGCGGGGCATCACAGTGTGCATTTGTCTTCCCTTTTCTTTTTTTTTTTGCTTTTGCTCGTGTTTCATTGTATCTCTTTTCCTCCACGGCCCTAACAAAGAGAAATTTCTACGTTTTGTTTGCTTCCTACTTAAGTTCCAGCTTTCTCTGGACTCCCCGCAAATTTGGTTTCCCCTCCTAATCACCCCTTTTGTATGTATGTTTTTGTGCGTGTTTGTGTCTCTGTTTGCAATAGGCGTCGGCTTTCATGCTCTCCGCCGCTTAATGTAGCCCCCGTTTGCTCTTTTGTCCTCTCCGTTGCTGTTGTTGTTGTTGTTGTTGCTTGCTGCGTCGCTGCTGGGCTGTCGCTGGGCTCCCTCTCTGGGTGTGTCTAAAGGGGGGGGGCCTGCAGCACATACACACACATGCAATCAATTGGCTGGCNACGGAAGAGCTGGTGGATTCTGCTCCTTCGCTGGTTTGGTTGATGTGTGTGTGTGTCTGCTCGACCATTCGGTGTTGCTTGGGCGCCGGCTGCCGGCACCGCACGCATGGGCAGTAGAAAAACAGCAGCAACGCGGGGGTGGGGGCTGTGCGGGTGAAGGAGGGAGCGGGAGGCCTCCGCAATGCAGGGAGGGGGGTGAAACGAGGGGGAAGCATGTACGTGATGACACATTTCCTGTCTTTTTTTTCTTTTTTGGTTTTCGTTCATTTTCGTTTATTTTCCCTTTTCGTTGTTGCTGTTGGTTTTCCGTGTGTTTGTTTGTTTTGCGGGGGGAGGGGGTATGTGCGTTGCTTTGTGGTTGCTCGTGTTCCTCTTGCTTTCGCAGCAGGTGGCAGGCGGGCACGCAAGCGCAAGTTGTTTGGTGGCGGTGGTGGGTGTGTGTGTGTGTGTGTTATTTGTTTGTTCTTTTCCCTTTGTTTCGTGGTTTCGTTGCCGTCTCACTCACGCTGGCTCTGTTTGGGCTTCCCTCCGCTGGCCACGGGCGCAGGGGGAGGGGGGTGGGGCCAACAAACAGACCAGGCGGCGAGGGAAGAAAAACTGAAACGAACGAACGTTAATTATTCACTTGCCGCCCTGTGCAGTTTTGTTTGATGCTTCTGTTTCGGTTCCCCGCCAGTGATGCAATCCAATTCGATAGGTTTGTCAATCTATCACTATACATATGTCTGTGTGCGCCTGCCGCTGCTGCTCGGCTGTGTCATTTCCCCACGAGTGAAGCGCAGCGGGGCAGCGAGACGCCAGGCCACATATTGAAAGCCACACGCTCCCACAGCAACGGACACACACACACACACGCGCGCGCAGATAGAGACTGACTGGCACGCGGACAAGAGAAACAATGGAGAGCGCATGTCACAAAACAAGGAAGAAGTAAGACCGTTTGTTTTTTTTTTTGTTTC